GGGCTGCAGCAGCCTTGGGTTAGGGCTTGTCTAGTGTCTTTGTCTGAATGTCTTTGTGCAGGAAAGCACCTTCTGCACACTCTGTATCTTTACATCTGGCTTCAGTGACTGTGTGCTAGATCTATCCCACAGTCAGAGTCCCTTCTCCATGGGCTCAGCTTTATCCTGCCTGGTCTTCTTTCCTGCATCCTTCTGCCCTGTGCTCCCTGGTCCCTGAATTCCCTCCACCTTGCCAGCTTTATGGCTCTGTGTGAGGCACACTGACCTGGGAGCTCCAGCACAGCAGTTCCAACTGCCTGATGCCCTTGGTTCACAGCAGGGATATTCCTGCTCCATAGGGAACAGGAGGACACCTGTGTGGAGATGGACAATTTGTTCATTCACAGAGGATGCGCCTTGGAAAGAGTTCTGGTGTCATGTTATGGGAAGCCTGAAGTGTTATGGTTAATGCTTAGGAAAAGGGTCCCATGTGAGGGTTACTCAGCACCTCTGCTGTGGGAGGTGAGGGGGTTGCCAGGGCTGTGCTTTCCAGGATTTTCAGGCTGTGTGTGCCCTCTCCCTGCAGGCCGGCCATACCGTGGGAAGCCCAGTGACATGTGGGCACTGGGGGTGGTGCTGTTCACCATGCTCTACGGCCAGTTCCCCTTCTACGACAGCATACCTCAGGAGCTCTTCCGCAAAATCAAGGCTGCCGAGTACACCATCCCCGAGTGAGTACAGCCTGCCCTCCTGCCTGGCCTGGGGGGCTTACTGGGCCAGCTGCAGCTGGAGGGGCTCCCCTCAGCACCCCAAGGGTCACAGCAGCACTGACAGCAGGCTGTGTGCAGTACACTGCAGGAAGCAGGAGCAGGGCTGGGACAGCTTGTGGGAAGGAGCAGGGCAGTGATGGCTCCTGTAGCTCCTCCCCTGTGCTCTCAGCATGTCCATCCTGCCACACTGTGCCCACGCCAGGCTCACCCCGTGCTGTCTGTCCCAGGGATGGCCGGGTCTCTGAAAACACTGTGTGCTTGATCCGGAAACTGCTGGTCCTGGACCCGCAGCAGCGGCTGACGGCTTCTGAAGTGCTGGATTCCCTCAGCTCCATCATAGCGTCCTGGTATGTGCAAGGGGTGACAGGACACGCTGTCTCTGGCCACAGGCTCTGTTGTTCCAGCTGTGGCTGGCTCATCTCACCAGAGGAGAGTCTGGGAACTGCAGTAAGCCTTTAAATCCCATGTGTCCAGCACTGTGTGCTGATGGATACAGCTGGAGAGGCCTGTGCAAGTACTTATGGCAGGCATGGCCATCCCAGTGGGATCGCCCTGGGGCTGGGTGAGGGTGGCTGAGCCAGTGCCACGCTCTGGATCCCAATGCTGTGCTCTCCTGCAGGCAGTCCATGTCCTCGCTGAGTGGCCCTTTGCAAGTGGTGCCGGACATAGATGACCAAGTGGCTAATCCCGAAAACCCCCAGGAGGTAGGTTTCCCTGCTTTCCACAGAACTGCTTCTCTGTGCTGCTGTGCCAGTCTGTCTGTGATGGCACCCATTGTGTCCCCCAGCTGGGAAGGGGAGGGTGGGGAGGACGCAGCCGAGTCACTCACGTTGTGCAGCGGAAGGAAGGGCCCATGCTGCTGGGAGCAGGAGGCACATCCAGCTGGCTGAGCTGCCAGGAAGTGAGCTCGGCCCCGGAGCTGATGAGAGCAGCTCACTCCCTCTCACACAGCTGGGAATGCTGGGAGGAGGCAGCAGTGTTGGCTCTGGCTCCCAGTGAGCTCTGCCATGGGAGCAAACATCCTGTTTTCCTGCCGGTATGTTTCATGCTAGAAGTGTCAGCCATGGCCTGGCTGCACAGGAACAGCCGTGCAGGATCTGTGACAGTGCTGCAGGGACAGGGGTCAGACAGCTGCAGCCTCCATGCTGCCAGGGTTGGGATGAGCCATGTCAGGACCCAGCTGCTGTGGTGGCCAGAGCTGTGTCCTGGTGGCACTGCTAGCTCAGGAGGAGTCCTGCCTGCATCCCCAGCAGCAGGCGGGACACCCTTCCCTGCATTATGATCCCAGTTATCCCGTGGTAGCTCAGGCCCATGATAGGAGCCGTGGGGCTGGCAGGTGTGGCTCTGACAGTCGGTCTCTGCAGGTGAAGGTGACAGAGGAGTGCTCCCAGTACGAGTTCGAGAACTACATGAGGCAGCAGCTGCTCTTGGCTGAGGAGAAGAACACCTTGCATGAGGCCAAGAGCTTCCTGCAGAAGCGGCAGTTCGGGAACATCCCGCCGGTGCGGCGCCTGGGCCACGACGCGCAGCCCATGAACCCCTTGGACGCGGCCATCCTGGCCCAGAGGTACCTCCGGAAGTAGCTTCCCACGCCCCAAGAGCACGAGCACCACCCTGCAGCCTGCCCTCACCTCGCCTGCTCCAGCCTACAGCAATACCGGTGTCCCACGACGGGGAATAATGTAGCAATCCCAAGCTCTGTCCAGGGACACGCACTCACACCTGCTCCGGACGGAGAAGACTTTTGGAAAAGCTAGTTTTGGAAGCAGCAACCTCTTGGCATCTTCTGGAATCTGTTTTTTTAAAATCGAAGCCTAGATGACTAATCTGCTTTTGATCATGACTGTAATCTACCTCTCTTGTCTTTTTAACCATGCTGTTCTCTGGATCGAGCAAAGCCCGTGGGAAAGGAGGAGACTTCCAAGGGTGAAGCTGCTGGCACAGAGCTGCGGCCGTGCAGCGCCGAGCCGGCCCCTGGCGCCCGCTCCGTGTGGTTTGAATAAGCTTGGATTTATCAGGGTTTCTCGAAAGGCAGAATTTCTTGAAACCTCCCACTTCCCTTCATCTGCATCAAATCTGTTTCTGTCTTTACGTGCTAGGTGGTCTGGCCATGCTGGCCAGTCCTGTGTGGCCACCGCCGTGACCGGAGAGCCCGGCCACCGCCTCAGGCAGGAGCTGAGGAGCCCAGGCAGGGATCAGATCCTGTCCCCAGTTCAAAGGTTTTGCAGGACTTGGCCCGCCAGGGTTCCTGCCCCGTCTCCCACCTCTCACTGATTCCTTTAGTTTATAAGGATCTATGATTTAATCTTATTTTTCAGTAGCATATCCCAGGTGCAGTTACAGTTGCATTAATTCTGATTTAGCGTTTCCCCCCTCAGTTGTGGTACAGATGTAATATATGAGTTATAATGTGAAAAGCTTCCCAAAATAATTTGCCTAGAGATAGGAGGGGCTGGCTGAAGTCTCTACTGTATTTGTTCCCAGCTTTTCTTGCCATCCCAGCCCAAACCTGGGGCTGCCTCTGCCCTCATGCCAAGGCAGGAGAAGGACATCCTGGTTTGTCACCTGGTGCCACTGGAAGAGCTTTGGCCTGTGCTGAGAGCAGGAACGATTGTTTCTGAGCCTCATTTATGAACTGGATGCCTGTCTTGCCAGATGAACTGTTCTCACACAGAGCTCCCAGGGCTCCCAGTGCCCTGGCCAGGGCTCATGCTCAAGGCAGCACCTTCTTCAGCTGCCTCCTTCCCTGCTCCTGGCTGCTCCCAGCCCTGGCATCGCCCTCCTGCCAGCCCTGTGAGCAGGGAGGGCTGGAGCTGGGGGCTGCCCTGCTTTTTGGGGCTGCACTGCTCTCTGGGCCCCACTCTTGCAGCACAGCAGGTGTGGGCAGGGAGTGAGTTGCAGATGTTTGTAGCATGTTGTTGCCTTTTCTTGCCCCGGGCTGGGGAAGGGGACGGGGTCTAAGCTGGGCCACGCCAGCAGTGGCTTTGTGGGGACAGGGGCTGGACCTGAACCTCCCTGGCCGTGTCGGGCATTACGTCCTGCCTGCGCCTCGCCAAGGCCCTGTGGCCAGGCAGGGCCTCGTGAACACTAACACAGACCAGCTCCCTGCACCACCCCAGCCGAGCCAGTAGCCCCAACTCTTTCGCCTTATTTATTTTGAAGATGGTGGGCCTGTCCTGTGGGCCCATCACCCCCTGTGCCACCAGCAGCAGGGCAGGGATCCCCTGAGCACCCCAGCAGGGCCCTGCTCTCTCCTTCTGGTTCTCTCCTGCCTCACTCCCTGTTTATTTTTACTGTTTTTCCCCAATGTTAAAGCAAAAAGCAATATTCTGGGACTCCCTGAGGCTGTATCACACCAGGATCCTGCAGTGGCAGCACCGGTCAATCCACTTGTGCTAAGGCAAACTGGAAGGGGGTGGTGCAGGGGGCATGGGGGGGCCACAGGGCCACGGCGGGACAGAGCCTGTTGTAAGGAAAAAATAGAAAAAGAAAAAAAAAAAAGGAAAAAAAATTTGTATAAAGACGTTATTTTTGTACTACATCGGAACTACTCCTGCATGTCGGCAATAAAACTTCATACGACAGCCCGGCGCCCCCACAGGGAAGGGTGGGAGGGAGGGGTGGCATGGGGGATTTTGGGGTACTGATGTGCTCTGGGAGGGGGGCAGGCTCGCAGATCAGCGGCCCCGATTGCCCCATGAGCCTGTCCCTCCCAGGCCGGCCTGGGGTGGCCGCTGGGGACATGCGGAGCCTCGTGTCCCCGAGGTCCGGGCCCAGCAGCCCTGGTGTGTCCCCCAGCTCGGCCGGTGGGGCTGAGGGTTCCACCCTGCGTGTCCCCCACCGGCAGCTCCCTCAGACCCGCACCGGGGCTGAGCCCCCAGCCCGGCGGGCTTGCCTCGGCTCCAGCACTGCCAGCCCAGCCTAGGCTGGGCTCAGCCAAGCCCGGCCTGGCCGGACGGGGCCTGGAGCCGGCTGTGGCTCGCTGCGGGGCGGTTCCAGTGCGGGGCCGAGCGCGGCTCCCGGGGGAGCGGGCCGAGCCCCGGCCCCGCGCCCCGCTCCGCGCCGGCCGGGGCTGCCATTGGCTCCGGCGGGAGCGCTGACCGCCAGCCGCCTCCGAACTATTTCCTGTTGCTGCAGCGTTAATGCTAAACAGACCTTGCTCTCTCTTGCCTCGCTCCAGCCGAGGAGCCGCTGCCTCCTTCCCACCGCGGTGAGTACCAGCCCCGGGCAGCGCGGGGGTCTCGGCACCGCAGCACGGCCGCGGCGGTGTCCAGGCTCGGTTCCGTCCCCGCTCAGCTGCTCTGGGACGGGGGGCAGTGCTGGGGACACGGGGGCTGAGGGCACAGGCTCGGTGACACAGCTCGGGCTGAGGTGGAGGATGCGGAGCGGGCGGCTCGGGGACACGGTGTGGTGCTCGGGGAGTGCGCTGAGCACCTCGGGGCTCGGCTCTTGGGGACCCGCAGGGTCCTGCAGCCAGCCCGACCCCCATCAGCACGGGGCAGGGGATCCCTGGGGTTCCATGGTGGGCTCTGCCCCGCCGCAGCCCCTTGCCGGGCAGGGGCAGGGGCTGGCCGAGCAGCTGCTCCATGGGGAGGGCACCCGCCCCTCCTGGGGACCCGCTGGCCTTGTTTTGGGGTGCCCCACTAGCGGGGCTGCCCAGCTCCAGGGCGTGCTGCGGCCCCTCAGCTCTGGACCGTCCGGGATGGTTTTGCTGATGTGTCACATTTTCTGCATTTCTTTCCTCATTCCTCCCTCTCTGGAGCCGTTTCTGGGAATGAGGTCGTCCCCTGCCAGGGCCAAATTTTCTCCCGCCCTGCCCTGCCCTGTCCGCTGTCCTGCCTCCCATCCTTCCCACTGCCCTGCTGCCCATCCTTCCCGCTGTCCTGCCCCTCATCCTGACCGCTGGCCTGTCCTGGTGGCCTTTGCACTGTGCCTGGCCTTGTCCCTGCCCTGCAGGGTCCCACGGCAAAGGGCCAAGGCTGGAGCTGGGCCGCCACAGTGTGGGGGACGGGGACAGGGACAGGGACACTGCCCCAGGAGCGTGTGGAGCACACGTGTGTGCCCGTGAGCACCGGCAGCGTGGTGCTGGGACTCTGCTCTGCCCCGTGACCCATCCCATGGCCGGGCATGGGACACAAGCCCTGGCCCGGTGCCACAGATCCGCCTGATGCTGTGGCCAGGAGGAGCCGTATCCGTCCCGGTCCCTCAGGAAGGACGGAGGGTGGCGGGAGTGGGACGGCTCCAGCTCCGCATCCGTGGGGTTCTAGCCCTGGATGGAGCAGCCCAGCCCAGACACGAGCCCCTGTCCAGCTGGAGCTCATCAAGGAGCCCCTGGGCACACCCGGGCACGGCCTTGAAAGGGACAGGGGGGATCCCGGCTCCTGCAGAGCGTTGCTCAGCCCGTGTCCCGCAGATGCCCAGCACGTGCCATCCCCGGAGCCGCTGAGACCTGCCAGGCACAAGGATGGAGAGCCGCCGGAGGGACATGGAGCTGCTCAGCAACAGCATGGCCGCGTACGCCCACATCCGAGGTGAGGCAGGACGCGTCCCGGAGGTCACTGCGGGCCCCGGCAGGCGCGGGCAGGTCCCTCACCCCCTCTGTTCCCCCCGCAGCCAACCCCGAGAGCTTCGGGCTCTACTTCGTGCTGGGCGTGTGCTTCGGGCTGGTGCTCACCCTGTGCCTGCTGGTGCTGCGCTTGTCCTGCCGGGCCTCCCCGCGGCCCCCGGCGCGCCCCGGCGACCTCAGCGAGGACGACGACGACGAGGACGAGGACGAAGAGGACACCGTGGACCGCGCGGCGTCTGAGTCGCTGCTGCCGGTGACCGAGATCCCGCTGGAGAGCCACGGCCCCGGGGACGGGGCGCTGGCCGTGAACGTGTTCGCCTCGGCCGAGGAGCTGGAGCGGGCGCAGCGGCTGGAGGAGCGGGAGCGCATCATCCGCGAGATCTGGCGCAACGGGCAGCCCGACATCCTGGGGTCCGGCACCATCGGCACCCTGGGCCGCGTCCACTACTACTGAGCCCGGCAGCGGCCCTGGCACGGTGTCTGCTCCCCCACGGCTGATCCCACGCCGTGCCAGGAGGGACCAGGGGGACAGGGGGGCTGCCCCTGAGCTGGCGGAGCTGCCTTGGACCGTCCCTGCAGCACGGAGAGCCAGACCCCGGTGGCACGGGCACGCCCGGGGCTGGACTCGCCCCCGCTGCTGTGGGACACGATGCACTTTGAGCCATTGGTACGACGGCTGGCACCAGCCGACAGCCCCGGGACATGGACAAGGACAGGGTAGCCCTTGCTGCGCCGGGGTTTCACCCGTGGGACAGGGCTGGGCTGTCCGTGTCACCCGTGGGCTCCCGCCCCACAAACATGGTGCTGTTGTACACGAACGAGAGCCCAGCGTGGCGGCTCCGGCGTTTTGGGGTCCTGGACGCAGCAACGGTCTGGACTCCCCCCCGAGCCAATTCCCTTCCCATCCCCACTAAAATTAGCCGGGTCTTTTCCGGCGCCGCCCGCCGTGACCCCACGCCCTTTGGCCGGAGCAAGGCGGATGTTCCCGCCGGACTCTGGGCCGGCCGCTGCTCCCCGGGGATGCGGCAGCTCCCGCCGGGCCGAGCCGCATCCTGCCCCATCCCAGCCCGGCCCCGCGGGGTGCCCGGCCCCGCTGCCCCCTCCCCGGCAGCTTTATAAAAATATCTCCTTCCCAGGCTGGTCCCCCCCGCCGCCAGCGCCAGCAGGATCCAGATGTTTTCCAGATGTTCTCCAGTGGCTGGAGGCCAGGATGTGCTGGGGCTGGGACTGGAGCTGGCCTGGGAAACTGTGCGGGGGTGGAGGAGGAGGGGGAGGAGGAGGAGGCCCTGTCCCAAGCCTGCCAGGAGCCCTGGAGGGACCCCTTGTGCCATGGTGGGACCCTTTGTGCCTGGCAGGACCAGCCCAGCCCTTCAGGGCCATGGCAGCCAACAGCCCTGAGCAACCCCCACACAGCACTTTGTACACAAAATAGTTTATTTTAAACGATTTCTACAAGCCATGGGGCTGTCGTGCTTCAAGGAGCAGTGCCTGGGTGTGGGGTGGGCGTTGGTATCCGATGGGTGCTGGGGGGCACACGGAACCATGTGCCACCCACCTGCCCCCCCGTGCTAACAGGGCAGCCCCTTCCACACTCGCTCGATCTCCGCCTGTGGGGAGAGGCTGTGATTGTCGGGGGGCACAGGGGACCCCGGGCAAGGCAACCCCTGGCAGGGACTCACCTGCAGCGCCTGGCGCTGAGCCTGCTCCTGGCACAGCTCCTGCCGCAGGTCCTGCAGGTCCCGCCTGCAACACGCCAGGGTGGCTCAGCCGGGGCCAGGACAAGCAGCCAGGAGCCGCTGGGGACCCCCTGACACCCCCATCCCCACTCACAGGTGCTGGACTCGCATCAGGTCCACAAGGATGTGCAGGGTGCGGACCTCAGCCTTCAGGTCCTCCAGGGCCAGTGCCCTCCCCTCCAGCCCCTCTGTGCTCCACGGCGGGACAGGCGCCTGCCCCGTGCTGGGGACAGGGGCACAGAGGGCAGCACGGGGCAGCCCCTGGGGCTGCTCCCCTCCATGGGGACCCCCCGTGCTCCCCAGGGCCAGGCTGGGTGGCCGCTGGCCTGGGACTCGTGGCCGTGTGGCTGTGGGGTGGCTCAGCCTGGCTGTGGTTACTGACACCGTGTTGAAGCCATTGGCATCTGCCAAGGAAAGAGCAGGAATCAGCCCCTGGTGCTGGGCAGGGCCCACGCACCCCTGCATGGCCCCTGCATCCTACCTGGGTCACCAGCTCTGCCCCACTCCATGTCAGCTGAGGCGCTGGGGTCACTGGGCCTGGGGACAGCAGAGGTGTGAGTGGCACAGCCAGGGAGGTGCCAGCCCCACGCCAAGGCCAGCCATGAGCATGGCACTGGCACTGGGACATCGCAGTGGCCCTGGACACCCCAGCACAGGCACAGGTTTCTTACTTGGAAGCCAGCACAGGGGCTGGTTTGGTCTTGGCAGGAATGGGGGGAGCAGGAGCCATCCTCTTGGTGAGTGGGAGCTTGGTGGGCTCCATCCTCGCCGGTGCTGGGAGCTCTGGGGAGAGGAGGCAGGAGCAGGGCTGGGGCCGGGGCCGGCGCTCACAGGAGTGGGGCAGGAAGCGCTTCCTGCCCGTGACCTGCCCTGGCCCAGCACATCCCTGCCCTTCCCTCTCCTCCAGCCCAGGACTCACCCGGGAGACTCCTGTCCTCGCCCTCCTCGTTCTTCTCTCTGGTTGCAGCTGCTGGGGGGCAAAGGGGCTCGTCAGGTTGGGGAGGGAGCCTTGTTCCAGCCTCTCCCAGCCTCCCCCAGCCCCGCTGTGGTCGGGCTTCCTCTGTGAGGCGGAGCAGGCAGAGCTGCTGTGAGCTCTGCGGCACGGGCAGGGTGTCACCCTGCCACCATCCCCGGCTCAGCAGCATCCCTGAACTGCTGAACCCTGGGGTCACAGCAGGACAAGCCCACTGGCGTGTGGGACACAGGATATCAGGCCATGGGCAAGTGCCCATGGACCACCCTGTTGTCAGGGCAGGCCCCCCTGTCACCACGGTTGGCCATGCTGTCCCTGGGGAGGGCCACGTTGACCCCATGGTGGGCCAGCAGCCCTGCTGCTGCCTGGTCCCTGCTGCTGCCACCAGCACAGCCCTTGTCAGAGAGGCCTTGCAGACACCAGAAATGGTGCTGGTATTACCCACCCAAAGTACGGCTGAAGCACTGAGGGCTGCAGGGATGAGAACACCCCAGTCCAAGGCCCCAGTGCTCCTCGGCTCGGGTGGCACAGGGTGATGGTGCCCAGAAATGCCCAGAAGTGCCCAGCATCCTGCCCTCCCTTGCCGGCAGCTCCCCCGGGCCCAGGGCACGGCCCAGCCCTGGAGCACGATCACACAAGGGCGCTCACCTGGGGGTGATCCCGTGTGCTGCACCCTCCTGCCTGCCGCTGCGGGGCTGCCCCGGGGCCGAGCGGTGCCGTGCCGTGCCAGGCTGTGCCGTGCCAGGCTGCCCCGGCCCCACACCGTGCACGTGATGCCGGAGGAAATCGGCTCCACGCCGGGAAGGAAGTTGAAGCAGAGCGCACCTCAGTGCTGGTCCACGCCGCGCCCCTGTGCCCCACGGGGGGCTCCTGCTCCCTGAACCCACCTCGTGCCCTTCGTGGGCTGGATGGGCACCAGGGCCAGGCTCACGGGACTCCCTGTGCTGGGATGGCAGCACTGGTTTTGGCTGGGCGAGAGGCTTTGGGTGAGGGTGGGACTGGAGGGCGCTGGGAGCACGGGCAGGAAGCGCTGGCACAGCAGAGCCCCCCGGAGCCCTGTGTCCTCAGCCACCTCCAGCCTGGAGCTGCCACCCACCTTCTCCGGCCCCGGGCAGGGCTGGGCCACCCGTGCCACCGTGGGGTCTTGCTGCTGGCATTGGGGTTCCTTCCCTGAGTGACAGAGCCGTGGCTGCGGGGGAGCCGGGGCCAGCGCAGGGCCGGAGGCACCGCCCCGGGGTGACAGCTCACACTTAGCCAGGCTCACACCAGTTTAGTCAGCCTGGCTGGAGGGGAAGTGAAACCCACAGACTGTGAGTGCAGGGGCGGTGTGGCCACGCTGCAGCTGTCCCTCGGCAGGGAGGAAGGGTCAGTGTGACACCAGGGATCCTGGATGCTCCTGGCCACTGCCCGGGCCAGGACACAGCGTGGATGTTCCTTTTGGCCAAAGCATCTGACCCAGCAATACCGACCTGGGGGCAGGGAGTGGGGCTGGGAATCAGCTGTGGGGCAGAGAAGGATGGCAGAACACAAATTCCATTGCACTCCCCAGGTGTGCCCACTCAGGCCAAGCAGCTGGGAACTCTGGGCACCCCTTTCCTCAGGCTGGCTCAAGGCTGAGTGTGAAGGGAAGCACCAGCCATTACCCCAGCCCTGTCCCAAGAGCTCTTGGCCAACACCATTACCCACAGCAGCCAGGAAAGCTGAGCTCCTGCAGAGGCTGCACAGGCAGCAGCCCCCAGCAGCCTCCTTTGGGATGGCAGTGAGGGAGAAGCAGCTGCTGCTGGGCACCAGCCAGGGCAGCACACGGGGCTGCAGCTGCCCAGCACCGGGACCAGCCCCTGTGAGCTCCTGGAGGAGCTCGGGTGTGGGAAGGATGGAGCTGCTCCTGTGCTGGGTGACACAATCCCTGCTGGCAGCAGGCAGGGCCTGTGGCTGTGTCACCACTGTCCCCAGGCAATTACTGCCAAAACAGGGGCTGAATGATCTATTAGTGCATAAAACCCAACAGGGAGTTGCTCCCCTGTTGCTGCTTTCAGGCTCCCACCCAAACTCAGGACACAAACCAAGCAGAGTTACACCTACGACTTATTTTATTGTATTTTATTTGCATAAACAAACTTCGGGGCTTTGCTAAACAGGAACTGTTCAAGTCAAAACAAACCAAACTCTAGCTGGTGTGTGGGGAACAGCACAGCAATCCTGGGGAGAGGGACAGGGGGAGCACGGGCACGGCTGTGCCTCCCCGCCCAGGCTCACGACCTGGCCGGGAACCCTCCACAAACTGCTCCAGAATATCTTTAGAGATAAAAAGAAATGCATCCTAAGGGCCATCCTCAACCAGCTCAGGAGGAATCTGCCTTTTGGTTTTATAAAAAGATTAATAAAAAATATTGAAAAATTCTCATCTCATTATATTTTTCCCCAAGAAGAATTCGGAAGTTCCTTAGAAAATTGTGTCACCTTGGAAAGGGCACTCGGGTCACAACCAGCTGCAGGGAGGAGACACAAATGCTACAAGCAGTTTGGGGTCCAGCACACACCAGGCCTAATAGTGAACACAAACAGTGGCCAGAAGTAGGGTGTAATTTTTTTTCCTCTTTTAAACCATGCTAATTTTGTTAACTTCCAACATAAAAGGAAAACAATAATTTTTAAAAGGCCCTAAACTCAACTGTTACATTAAAAAAAGTTTAAAAAAAAAAAGTCATAGCAGTTTGGTCCCAACAAATGAACATTTAGATGTTTACTCACATGCTTCATTATTTTCTTATTTATAAGAACCAAAAATAGTTTCCAAAATTATCTCTGAATTGATGCTACTACGTATGTAAAGGCCTAAAATAAGCAGAATTTAGAAAATTGAATACACAATAGGGGAGGAAAATTTGAGCGGGCGAGTGAACCCCCGACTATCACTGGGTCAAATTATAAAAGAGAAACAAAATGTCAGGACAGGCGAGGTCAGGTGGGCACAAACTAAAACCACATCGTCCTCAAAGCCTGTTAGCAAAAAATAACCGACCATCCATAAGGTCACAGAGAAGGGAAAATCTGGGGTCTCACCCAGCGCTTGACCGTATCCAGTCCAGAAGGGAAGTCTTTGGGAAGAGAAACTCCAGGAGCGGATCCGAGCGTAAATGATGGATCAGTCCCAGTCCGTGCTTGGGGAGGCTGAACTCTGGAAATGCAGTTAAACAACGTCGGGATGGTTTCCGAGCTGCTCTCCAGGGCTCTGCTCAGCACGTGGGGATCACCCTGACACCCCAGCACCAGCCTGACCCCTCCCCTGCTGCCAGGGCTCCCAGCACCGCGCGGACCCCGCGGCTACTCGGCCGTCGTCTGCAGGGCGTCCTTTTCCTCCCGGTTTTCCGTTCCGCTTTCGTCGTCTTCGATTTCTCCCTCTTCCCCACTGAACTTGTCATGAGCCCACTTGGGGCTGGTGCTGGACTTGCGGAACATGAAGCGGCCTCTTCCCCGGGGGAAGGCGCCACGGCCGCGGCCCCTGTTCACCCACTTGTCCGTGCCCTCGCCCTCGCGGTCGTCGTGCTGCACGGGAAGCCAAGGACAGCAGGTGAGACAGGCTGGCACCGCCCTGCACCGCGCCTCGGCCACCGCCCTTGGGGATCCACTTAATGGGAGCCACTCCACGGGGAGCAGGAACGAGCTCTCTTTAGGCAGGAGCCAGCAGCCTCCCGTGAAGCGTCACCCGAAGCCTTACCTGGTGTGGCAGTGACAGCGGGTGCTTTGGCCTCTAAAGCACCTGAGACCTGACACAGCCGGAGCACACGGGTGTCTCAGCACCCAGGTACGTACCAGGTAGTATTTCTTGCTCTTAGGTGTGTACTCAGGGTCCCACTCCTCCTCTCTGCTGCGCTTCTGGAAGTCGTTGTTGCCGCCGCTGTTGCTGTTGTTGTTGCCTGAAAAGTTTCCTCTGCCCCATCCTCTCCCTCGAGCTCTGAACTGCTGCAACAGCAACACAGAGGAGAAAAATAGAACAGCTGCAGAGGCAGAATCCTCCCACCCCAGCCAAGATGCCCAACATTCCATCCAAAACACCTCTCAAACCTACCACTAAAGCAAGAGGACAGCTTTAGCATGGCCGTATCACCACCAGCACGCATGGTTTTGGGGTTTTAGTTCATCTGATCACACACAGCACATCACAGCTCCTGTAAAGCTGATGCAGATCACCTACAGGCATTTCCAGGGCAACCCCAAGCAGACGAGACCCCTCTGTACACGGACTGCACACAGGAGCGTGGCCAAACCCCAGTGGAAGCACAGCGTGTGCCCATCGGGCTGCTCAGCATCACTAATGCACAGAAGCTTCCAGGCTTTGTTCTGCTCCTCCCATCTGGAGTTTGCTGCCCACAGCACACCCCCAGCAGCCTGGTTTATGCCCCAGACTTTGAGTGATTCCACTGGGGCTCATCACCCCAGGGGCTCCTCCTCCAGGGCAGCTTTAACTGAGAACACACAACAGCCACTTCCTGCCCACTCTGGGAATCAACCCTCAGGGCACAGGTGGAGACCATCTGGGGCAGGGGTGGAGAACACTTACAAAGGTTCCTCTCGCTCTTCCTCTCTCATTTGGACCAGAGAATTCCTTAGTCCCAAGCCGGGACTTGTCAAAGCCTGTGGAGCTCTCCTCCCTCTCCTCAGTCTCCTCGGGATACTCCTCTGCTTTGACTGAATGGGAGGACCACGACGACGAGGAGCTGGACCTGGACCTCTCACGCACCCGTCGGTGTTTCCTGTTCCAGGTGGGAACAGAGGGGAGTAGGACACAACAGCATTAGGCACCCAGCTGTGACCCATCACATACAAAACCACTTCTTTACCACTCTCTTGTCACTGCCATGCTTTCCTTTTCCTACTACAACAGGCTTTAACACAGGGCCCAAGACCTCTCCTGAAGGAACTTGTTGCTCCTTCCTAAGGTGTTTACACCACCTGCTCTCAGCTTAGCATGCACCCATGGAGTTTTAGTCAAATGGAAAATTAAGCTTATAGAAAAGGATTAAATGAACATCAAAGCCAAGTGATTTTAACATGGCTGTTTCTCTCTTGACACAACAGGAACAAGAAGGAAAAGTGACTCACCCATCCTGACACATGGAGCTTTCCCATCTACCTTTTACAATTATTTAGTGTTTCTGAGAGATACAATGATAGCGAGACCACACGCAGAGGGGTAGCTCAGGCCACTGGAGGAGTTATGTCACAGGGGCACAACTGTGTGCACAACTGTTGTACATGGTGTTGTCTCCAACCTGAGCAGCAGAGACACGAGAGGCACAAGGAAATGGCTACTGGGTTTCCTACATACTTTTTCTTTGAGCCTTTGTGACTTTTCTCCGTTTTCTCAGTTGATCTTTCCCTTGAGTGACTTGAATCTCTCGAGTCCACCGACTCCCTGGATTTATCGCGTTTAAGATCTCTTTCCTTATGTTTTTTACGGCGTTCAATATCAAGGCGCAGATCAACAGGGTCGTCCTTGTATTTCCCTTCAGCCTACAAATGCAGAGGAGAGGGAGGGCAGAGTTGAACACAAGGTCTGCAGTGCCCCAGCTCAGCACCATTTACTTTGCTACTGACTGCACAGACTTCTGGAGAACTGGAGTTTAACTGAGCACTAATGAATATTCCACTTTAAGATGTCAAATAATGCACTATTAAAATAAGTCTGCCTTTGTCAGAATTCAATTTTCCTACACTTAAAATCACTGCTTTTTAAACTTTTAATCTCTTCTTTAAACAGCATTAAAATAAACAGTCTGGTAGAGGGGAGGGAGACATGGAGGCTGACATTTATTGTACACCACAGCCAGCAAGGATGTAAACAACTTGGGGATCCCATCCAGCTGATTATGGACCACAAGGACAGTGTGGCAGAGCTCTCTGACAGCCCATGGGTGCACCTGAGGTCCTGCTGACAGTCTCACCTGGGTAGGGGCTAGAGGGAGTTTAATTCCCAGGTCTAGAAGTAACACTCTGGGAGAAGCAAAAGCTCTTTGCTGCTTGGAGCTACCCAGGATTAGTGATCAAGGGGCAGGAGGAGGCAGTGAAAGGCAGCATCCAAGGGGTCTGGGAGAAGGCCAACATCCCATGGACAGGGAGGCATTGCTGTCTGTCAGGAAGATTTATTCAGTGCAGATGCCACCTACAGCTCGTTCCCCTGGGCTGGAGGGCACCGTGTGACAGGTGCCACAAAGCCCCACAGACACACTGTGTGTGTCTCCACAGTCCTGCCAAGTCTGCTAAAGCAAGCTGGTGTCTCACAGGGCAAAAACCCACCAGCTGCATGAAAAATTAAAACTAAATTTACATTGCTAATTAAAAACAAACATAAAAGACACCTGGCAATGCTTGCTTTGAGTTGTATTTAAATTGGTACTTCAAGAAGGGATTAGGAGTTCATTTGGGAAAGGAGCAGTTGTTGTCCCTGCTCCTCCCTTGAGCCCTGTGGCACCTGGGTGAGATTCTGCTGCCTGCCCTAAGTGACAGTGGCTGTGGTTTGACAAACAGGTAACTGGGCAGCAGGAAGCCTTACACCATGTTGGTACCAACACCCAGCCTCAGCTACTGCATTTACACAACACTCATCCTGGGAACTGTACAACTTGATATGCAACATACATCAAATTAATCGCCTTCAATTAAATACAAAAGGATTAGTAATTCTCTAGCTGTTAAATTTTTACTTACATGAGTTTCTAACCACTTTTTTGTTTAAATAAATATGTCAAATAACGCAGGAGTGAAAGCAGGCATTTTGTTTTGGTATTTTGCTCTTCTACTTTCCCCAGGCAAAGAGCTTTAATTTCTACTCTGAGAATAAAACTGCTCCCAACACGATGGATGACAGATAAGTGACAAAATCAGCAGCAGCTCCCTTATGTGGCACAGCAAACACCTATTTGGGTTTGGGAGG